ATTACACACTTTATTTGTAGGCTTTAGGAGATTTCTACAAATAAACAGTAGATATTTTTCATGAAACCATATAGTGCTTCACATAATAAAATATACAAGGGCTGTAGCCTGATATTTATTATATGCTTTAGGAGCTGTTTTGCGAAAAACTTGTGGAAGTGATTTCAAAACAAAAGCACTTGTTTGCTTGGAACGTTGATAATATTATAAACAAGGGGAAACAAGGTGAATTTTTTGATCACAACGAAAACGGCCACGACACACATTGAGCCCAGAAAATGAATGTTATTAAGGGCTGTAAATATAATAAGCCTTTGTCTAGAATGGACAACATTGTTAGGAGATTTAAACTATACAGAGATTCTGCACTGCGCTCACTCAGCTATGGGCTCAGAACATTCTCATAGTCAGTGGCGACTGGTCATTAGGGGCAGGTGCACAGTCCCACCTAGTGTCAGCAGAAAGTATTAAAAATAATGATTACAACAAAATGCAAAAAANNAAAATTAAATTATAATAACAAAAAACAAAAAGATATTGCAAATGAAGTATTTTCAAGAAGAAAACAGTAACAGTATGAAGTTTAGTTGAAATATATAGCCAGTGATGCATGACGTCCACTTTAGTGGACAGGCTAATAGTCATGTTTTCCTGCAAACATAAAATCAATACTTTGACAATTTATGAATTATATGATCCCTTAGTTGTTACTTGATGTCACCAAATGTTTTATACCTGCAGGGAGCGCTTTCCACAAAAGTATTGGCAGGACATCGGCAGGGGACTTGGTCCATCTGGCTTTCTGTCGTTCATCTTGTTTTAGAGACATGTATCATGCACTTGCCCTGACTTTCCACTGAGTGGCAGTGTATGGGATGATGCAATAGGGTCCTATGTGGCTGATGGAGCAACTATGCAAAAAAAAAACATGCATATACAGGAAAACAGCTTTTGAATAGCTGTCCACTGTAGTGACCTCTATGCATGAAAGTGTTACAAATATTTAAGGAAAAACACTTAATATAATCATGATTACAAACCTGAGGAATCAGGGCAAGTTTGAATAAAAACTATTTAATTATTATAGTATATAACGTATGCATTGGGTCCATGTACTACAGTGTATTACAGTTCTGCCCATCTTCATCCTTTTTTCCCCTTGTAATAAGTATGTCTGTCTCCACTTTTTCTGACATTCAGGTATCGACGTCGAGCAGGTTTCTGTGGTGATCAACTTCGACCTTCCTGTAGACAGGGATGGTAACCCGGACAACGAGACATACCTGCACAGGATTGGCCGCACAGGTCGATTTGGCAAAAGAGGACTGGCCATCAACATGGTGGACAGCAAGTCGAGCATGAACATCCTCAACAGGATCCAGGAGCATTTCAGTAAGTCTGCAACACACACACACACACACACACACACACACACAATCAAGTTGATGAGGTTATTTCATACTGTTAAATTTTGTTGGAGGAGGAATATCCATAACGGATGTTTTTAAAAGTNTCACACACACACACACACACACACACACACACACACACACACACACACACCACTACACTACACACACACACACACACACACACACACACACACACACACACACACACACACACACACACACACACACACACACACACACACACACACACACACACACACACACACACACAATCAAGTTGATGAGGTTATTTCATACTGTTAAATTTTGTTGGAGGAGGAATATCCATAACGGATGTTTTTAAAAGTGATCAGCCATGCGTCAACCCTCTAAAAATGAACCCCGATATTTTCTTTGGTTTCTGCCTCTGCAGGTAAGAACATCGAGAAACTAGACACGGATGATCTGGATGAAATTGAGAAAATCGCCAGCTAAAGAGAGCAGCGTTTATCACACCAAGGACGCCCCACTCCCCCTCCCCTCTTGGCTCTCCAAGGACTGTACGCTCCTACAGCGTTTTACGCTTTTATTTCTTTTAGCTGTCAGAGGGAAGAGCAAAGCCACAAACGCAGCATATGTTTACAAGTGGATTCTGTCTCCTCTCTGACGAGTGTTTTGTAATTCTCGGGAACATACCCCATTTCACTCTTTGTACTTCTTTGAATAAAGTCTATGATTTTATTGCTGTGTATTGTAATAATGCAGCCACAGTGGAATCTGTTTAACTGAACAGAGAGTTCAAAACACTATTTGGTTCTGGCTGTAGTGGTGGCATGATACAAGCTATTCTGTAAAGAGATTTCCCAAAAGGAAAAATAACAATTTTATGTGCCACATTGTTTTACATTTTAAAAGTAGGAAAGTATGATTGAATGTAAGCGTATCACGTAGATCAGTACAGCAGTTACTGTGCTGTAAATGAATTGACTACAAAGTGTGAAGTTGGGTATGCTGCCGAGCGGTAGATTAATCATTGAGATTGTTAATGAGGGTTATGGTTGGGTTTCAAGGGTCTATGCAAGCTTATCAACCTGTGATAGCTATTTTCAAATAATATCAACCTGTATTCACATGAAAGAAATGAATCCTGAATTAACCTCAGCTTTAGCGTCAGGGTGTGTAGTCAAATGGCTGCCTAGAGTCATAAGACACTAATAACTCCAAGTCATGGACATACAAATATCTTTTCTTAAGCTAGTATTTAACCATCATTCACCCACACATCTTACGCATGTCATTTGTATCCTTTTTTAAATGATTACGACTTTTATCAGGATATCTTGGCACCACTTCCGATCATTAATCATTTTATTTCTAATGTGGACATCAGTGTCACTCTTCATCATTGTTTCCAATCAGGGTCTCCAGTTTGACCTGACTCAGCTACATTCACCCAGACTGTGCTGTTATTATAACGCAATGCCTTCCTCAAGTGCATTATATATACATATGATTTTGTTTCTAAGACATTGGGCTTCATATTCTGACTAACACTTGACATTTTGATTATATATTGAGCGTCTTTAGGATGTGTGAAACCAAATGCTGAATTGACTGAGGACCTATGCCAATCAGATTCATTGTGTTGCTTCAACACTGACGCATGGATAAATAAACATGTACTTGTGTACATATAAAAAAAGAAATAGGTTAAAGTAGTGCAAAAAAAACATTCCTCACAAGGTTCAATTTTGACAGACGCGGCTCTTCGAATACGGTGAGCCTAAATCAGTTCATCTTGCATCAGAGGTACAAAATAATAGGAACAGTGGGTGGTCTGGTGCGTTTGATCAACACGCTGGAACATTAAGAGCAGGGATTTAACCTCGTACAAACCTCATCTGGCTCTCACCGAAATTAAGAAGACGGCTGGTGGTAGTCCGGTTTTAATGGACTGTTTACGGACGATTAGAAACAAGTGAGAGTGCTCTGAAGACTTTCGGGTAAAGAACCAATGTATGCAGTTTTATTTGGACATCTGGATGTAAAAATGATCAGTGAGTGTGTGCATTTTGTTGATCCATAATGTAAAAAACCACTGGACCAGAGCCATGGACACTCAAAGCAGTTTTGGCTACAGGACTTGACACTCCTCTTCTCCACCTGTTGTATACCTTGTTTGATTATATTCAGAACCTACCAGAACCCTGTTCATACACATAGGAGTAATACTGCCTGACGAGGCTTAAAGAACGTTGTCTGTAACCTGAAGGTCATGTGTAGACAATGATAGGTTCAAGGTGTGTGGTATTCTGTAGCTGAGCTGCGTTCATGGACACAGTTTATGTATTGTTAATATGAATTAAAACAACATGAACATGTTATCCGGATGAAGTTATGCTTATTTGTCTGAGTGTGGTCATTATTTTGTTAATTACACCTACTGGGGTCATTCACTCAAAGTGAAGCTGCTTTATTCGTAAGTTTATTCTGGTTGTAAGTAAAGAAAATAATATACACATTCAAAACTTTATTACAAACATTGCACACAGCATTACGGAAATTATAAACAATCATTATTCCTCTGAGTTTCCACTGGAGATGCATTGCTCCTCTGACGTCTGTTGTGAAAACTGCAGGTCTAAGGAGGGAAAGAATTGGCAATACATCAGAAAAATTTAACAAACAGAAATGGTTACATACAAAAAAAGTACTTGCTATGAAATGGTAAACTGACAAAGAAATCAGGGCAAAAACTACACTTAGCATGTTAAGGACATATGGGCCTTCTCACCTGTCTCTCTGTAGTCCACCCTGGTGAGGAAGAGGCCGTCAGGTGGAGCCGCCATGGCTTGTGGGTAAGCGAGCGAGTCCCTAGCCAACAGTATCTCCTTCAGCTGGGGCACAGAGAGCCTCCCCCGCCCTACAGCCACCAGGGCCCCCGTCATCCTGCGCACCTGGACAAACAAACATTGTTTATTCCACACATGGCAGTTAATTTAAAACAAAACATGTACACTTTACAAAGCATGTACCCTTACAGTATACTAGTTTTTCTTTAACGCATGGTGGAAAGGCGCAGCGAGAAGACAACCTTTTTAACCTGTCCCTTACAAAGAAATACAAAAAATAAATACAAATAAAATAAAAGCAATATTCTTTCAGTCACAGTTGCTTACAAATACTGAAACATAAAACCAGAACCCAATCAAAAGTCAAATTCATACTGTCTAAATATGCTTTCTTTATACATTTTCTTAAACATAAAATATTTCTTACAGCCCTTTAAATCATTCTGCAAAGAATTCCACTTCTTTACGCCAACTACAGAGACACACATTATTACATCATGACTTAAAATATCTCAGAAATGTATGCTGAATGAAACTTATGAGATATTGCAGTTTCCCCTGCATGTCAGATTTTGCTCTCTGACGAAGACGACCAGCCTTGAGCAGCCGCTATCTCCCTTAAGGAGGGGCTGCCCAAGCATTTTGTTGTTATTACCAGTTTATGACCGGGCAACTTCGGTCAGAGATAGTTATTGTTGTGGGACACCTGGAACACATCCTTCTTGGGGTTTAGATGACCCCGAGCCATAAGCGACAACAAATGTGATTCAGTGTCCTCAGCTGTTTAGTCTATCTATTGAAGAATGTTGATTATTACACTCTGAACTAGTTAAAACCTGGAGCTACAGGAGGGTTCTTCAGAATTGATTGTGGCATCTCAACCGTGTGGTCAAACCGTGGCCCGTGACATGTCTTGTTGAATTCTCCGGCCGAAGCTCCAAATAAACCATCAGTGTTTGACATCAAAGCTCCAGCTCTCCATCGTGTCTCTTTGAGTCCTGACTCCAATTGCTTCAGAGGTTTCCCCCACAGCAGTCATCACCATTGTAACACAGGCAAACCGCTCACCCGGCTTCCTACGCCGGAACACGCTGTCCCCAGAAACTGAAGGAGACAGCTTTTGTGGCCCTAGTACGCTCTAAACTAGGGTACGCCAGCTCAGTCTGGGACCCCTACACTGATAAAGACAGTGATGCCCTGGAATCAGTACAAAGAAGAGGGGCAAGATTCATTTTTGGAGATTATGAATGGGACAGCAGTTTCACAGAAATGCTCAAGCGGTTGAACTGGGTGGAATTGAGTGAAAGGCAGCGATTGGCTCGTTTGGTTCTCTTCTTCAAGACTGTCCATAACATCTCAGCCATTGATGCATCAATGTACCTAGAGCGAGTTAGAAGTGCAACCCGCAAAGCCAACTCTTTGAACATTGCTACTAGTGACACTCTTAAATAATCTTTCTTTCCGAGAACAATCAGGGAGTGGAACTTGCTACCAGAAGAAGCTGTCATCACAGAGTCCATGGAGTGCTTCCGGCAAACTTTAAAGTGGACCTATCATGCTTCTGCTCAGTATTAATCCAGATCCAGACCAGCAGATGGTGCAACTCACTAACTGCATCACATTTGCAGACTTTAAAGGAGAGTGAGAACAGTGAGAGGGACTGACCTGCTTATAGAGGAACGATCTGCTTGTAAACGTGATCTCCCAGAATGGTATTTCTCTGTAAAACCAAAAACAGGTGTTACATTTTGCACAACATATATATAGTATCCAAGAAAAGACGGAACATACAATTGTTAAACACAACAGCTGTTTATTTATTTACGTTTACAATTTGCAAATGTTTTAAGGCAGATTCCCAACACGTGTTAAACACTAATTAAACGTTACAATGATAATATTAGGTCCTCAAGGCATAGCAGTTGGCATCACTGACTGAATGTACCACTAAGTATTGCCACAAAGGTTGAAGTTATACATTTTAGAAGCAAAATAATATCTTGAATGGTCGTCACTCAGATGAAATATATCATAATACTGAGCCACATTGAGTGTAGATCTGAATGACACTCGTTGTCTGATTATTATATGTATATCATTCTAAAAGTCTTTAAAAATGTATTTCATCAGTCCGAACCATGTTCTGAAAGTGAATTATTCATTTGAACTCAAAAGTGTTCATGTCTCATGAGTATTTTATGTAAAGACATGTCCTCTCTTTAAAGAGAGGACCCCCCCCGACCACTGTTAGGTGCCGATGGGACGCTCATGCTGCCAGACATCATCAGATAGAGCCGGGGCCTCTCCTCCTTCACAGATTTGTTTAAATGTCACATGCTGAATACGCCACTGCAGTTTAGGCCCGGCTGGATTATGTGGGATGCCATGACAAAAATATGAATCTTCCTCGTTTGCAATGTGACATTATATTTTTCTTGCCGTTTGTTGTCTCATCATTTAAGCCGCAGCAGTCATTTCCCTGCAAATCTGATAACTTGGGGAAGAATGAGCCGAGCAAACAGGCACATGTGAAGAATTAGGTCAAATGTAAATTTGAGTCAGCGCTTGCCGTCTGATTTCATTTGACATGTAAGAATGCAGAGACAGATCTATACAGCAAGCCTGTTAGCTCATGGACTCTGGTGATGGACATCCTAATGTGGATAGACAAAGGCTGTGTCTCATGTTGCACAGCATCTGTGTGTGTGTGAGTGTGAGTGTGAGTGTGAGTGTGTGTGTGTGTGTGTGTACGTCTTTTCTGTCTGTAAAGGATATTGATAAACGCATTAAGGTTTTCCGGGCATCTAACTGAGAAAATGATCAATTAGAATTTCAACAGAACGTTAATGTTTAGTTGTTTTGATAATTTATGAATTGTTTGAGGGATCTATAAATCAACAAGTTTGCAGTACAGTTGTGCCGGCATCGCTGTGAGAAGATACGTAGGTACAGTGGTGCTTTGAGCTTAATTCATAAGGGACCCTGTGAGGCTGCACTAATGACCATACCAACATGCTAATAACGACAAAATACTAATGTTAAGCAGGACATGATGTACCCTCTGATTATGCTAAAATGTGCTCATTAGCTCTAAACCCAAATCACAGCTGAGGCTGATGGGGATGTCATTAGTTTGGCATGTTTGGGTTACTAGCCAAAGTTCTGGGCAATTTAAAATGTTGCCCTATAGATGGTGCTCATTAAAGGAATGTCCATTTAATTATATTTCAACCTGAGTGGAACATGAATATGTTTAAGAAAAAATGTCATAGAAACACATCCAATAGCTGTCAAGATTTTTCACTGGCTCTGGGGCATTCTGTTGTAGATTGTCCCTCTTTTAAAGCCGTTTATTATTTAAGAAAAAAGTAACAGTAAATGAATCAAGAGCTCCGCTGCAGGTTTTCAATCAGGGCATTTCTGTTAAAATATAACTACAATATGATGAAAATGCAACCATAGACACCCTAGTGTGAAAAGCCCTGATGCTCACAGCTTGTTGATGCACCATGTGTGCGGGGGGGTTAAGGGACTATGTGACATTTACTTAGAACTGCAAACACTCTGCCCATGTCCATATTGTGCACCATATCTTCAGGGCAAGTAATGAATACGGTTAAGGTGGTACTCCCCATGCAGAGGGACCCCCATGGACCTGTAATCTCAAAAAGCTCTCTCTCTCTCCCTCTGGCTCACATATCGCATAACTATATTCATGTAAAATAAAACGTGGACTGAAATCCAAAAGAATACGTGTGTCCCACTTGTCTGGTTTAGTAATACAATGCTGTACTGATTTGGAGTCATTGTTTCACATGACATGAGAGTTATTGAAAACAATCAAGACTTTCCAATTAAACCCCCAGCGATCTTCATTTAAATTATATTTATTTTGCAGCCCTATATTAAACTACAAGTTGAGTTTTGAGTCCAGATTATAGTCTACTCAAAATGTGATGATAACATCATATCGAACAGGCCACTGAGTCGGATTGAAGCTTGAAAAGGATTATTTTCATGCAGAGTGGAGTACCTGTAAATGATTCAAAGACATTGGCCAATTTCCTAAGCATCAGTTGATGTAAGATTGAGAAACACGAGACTGAAGTGTTTGCAGTGGTAAAGCACATGCATTATTCTTTATTTTCTATGCCTTTTTCTTCAATTTGGATAAAAAGTATTAACTGGGAGGACTGTGCTGTCTCCCACTAATTTCATAATGATTTTTTTCACTTAAATCTTGGCAAGAAAGTAAATACTGGTGCATTTGACCATGATAGATTTAATGTGTAGCTTTTTTAAATATATTTATGTTTTTAAAAAAAAATGTAGGTTGCACTGATTCATGTTTTATACTAAATATATAAAGCAGACTAAGTGTACTGAAGACTTGACAAAACCACACAGAATTATCACCTGACTAGGCAGTTCCCAGCAGTTAGCGAGACATAGCATTATAGCTCATTGTTTTGGTAAAGACCACAGCTTTGTTTCCCTCCCATGGGGCGGTGCATTATCTTTCCAGCACAAAGACAAAGTGAGCTGCTAGCTGGTGAATATTATAGAGCATTTAGTTGTTAAAGAGCCCTAAGGAGTTAGTGGAGAGCAAAACACAACTAAAAGAAGAGCTGATGTCACACTTACATTCATCACAATTCAGAAATGCAAATCTAAACTGTTCAGGATGTGTGAAAAAAATATATTCAAAAGATATGAAAATATATGTCAAGGTTATGTTTGAAGCTTGTTTGTTTGACCCCAAGTGCTCCAAAAATATGTATGCAGCCATTTCCTTTGCTGACTGCCGGCCTACCTGAGTATAAACAGCCTACCTGTGGAAATGTGTTTGTAGGAAAGATCTTCCTGGTTGTATGCCGACCACATCAAGCGTCTTCACAGGGTTTTTAAAATGGATGTCAGAGCTGACTGCCCTGAAGGTGCTGAAGTCCTGAGTCCCAACCAGCAGGGTGGCAGCCTCGCGCATGGCTCCCACATCCAGCTCCCTGATCAGAGACAGAAACAGGAGACATTTCTATTTAATAAGTGATCGCTAATGTTCAATACCGTAATCAATTTTGCAGCCTCATTGTGACGTAACCATTGACAGGTCAGGCCTGCACAGAGAGGACAGGCAGCGGGGATATGGTGTGCACTTTAAGCACCACAGGTTTTCAGGAACTTCATGTTCCAGCTTTCAAAATAGAATAATTTATTGGTGGTGTTATATAATATTAACTTTTCTGATGCACAACACCACGTGACAGAGAGGAGCATGTCCATGAGCAGCTCGTTCGAGGAAGAGACTGAAAGTGGGCCCAGTGCTGCGACTCTCTACAGTCTGATGTTTCTGTCCCTGCTTTAATACGATCTGACGGAGAGAGGGGGAGACACAGTGAGGAGGAGTGTGCCGAGTGACTCACTAATTAAAATCTTAATGCACCAATTTAGAATCTTGAACATGAGAATCATGAATGAACATGTTGTGGAGCGCTGCAAAAAATAACTTGACAATAACGGGTGTCTCCTTTCAAGTCAGTCTGTAGTTTGTCCTTTTATAACAAGTGCTAGAACTTTTGAGGGAAAGTTGAAAAATGGCACAAATTGGAAAAATATTAAGTTATTAATTGAATTATTTTTAATGACCGTAATACCTACATACGAAACTAATGATATTCCCATCAGAACCATTGGCTGCACTTGCCTTTATGCTAATTCACAAACGTTAGCATGATAACCAGATACCTATGATGGTGAACAAGGTAAACATTGTATCTGAACATCAGCATGTTAGCTTACGTTAGCATTGTTATTATTTCTGTTAGCATAACTCAAAACCAATGTCACACAGCCTCAGAGCTGGCAATGTGGGTCTCCAATGAATAGACACATTTATGTCCATCTTCATTTTGATTAAGATTAACTTTAATTTCTTAAAGTGGTTATTTTGTAATTCCATGGAGACCTGAGTCTACTAGTCAACCAAAAAGTAACTCTATAAATATTTGGATTTTGCAGGATAAAGTTGATAAACTGAAATACTATACTTCTGATATGTGCATTTACAAATTCAACAATTTTAAAAGTTCTGCTGCTATCTAACCGAGATTATTTCTCCTTGTTTTAAAAAAATGCAAGATTTGAAGACTAAATTCAACATTAAAATGAACAGTGGAAATGTATATTTTTTGCAGTGGGAGAGTTGGGGGTGTGTGATGACGAGGGAGAGGATGATCAAAGAGAGACGGAGAGAGGAGGCAGAGACGCTGAGGGGTGGAGGGATGAGATGGATGCTGAAAATGAGAGAAGGGATACAAAAAAATAAACAGACACCAGAGAGAGAGAGAAACAAGGGAGGGAAGGAGAAATGGAATGAAGGTAGAGAGAAAAAAGTGTAGTGGAGAAAAGGAGAAGATGGGCGAGGGAAAGAGAGAGTGAGAAAAACACAGAGTCAGTAATGTGCGGGGGGGTTGTTCTGCATGCGTAGTATAAGCCCGCAGCTTATCTTGCCCTACTTTCCCCCAAAAAAAGTGTAGAGCTACAAGCAGAAAAATGCTCATATGTACACTCTGTGAAATGTTTTTCTTTACGCTCCCTCCTTCCAATCACAGCTAAGAGAACATCGTCTAGGCTAGCCCTCACCATTTCATGTTTTTCTCTATGTTTTTGGGTTGTCAGCTCAGATGAAACACTTTGTTTGACTGGCCCTAATTTTCAGTTCCGGCGTGGCACATGTGGATTATTCATGTGTTTAACATGCCATTGTTTCTGCAAGGCTTGGCATGGGCTTATTGAGGGTGTGTCTGTCTGTCTGTCTGTCTGTCTGTCTGTCTGTCTGTCTGTCTGTCTGTCTGGACCCTCTTGATAGGTTGATCTCGATTTGTATTTCTTAAGGGAACTCGACAGATGAGTGAATGAAGGCAGGGATGTCTGGTGTAAAGCAGGTTAACTCACGTGTTGCTGAGGTTCCAGCAGAGATGGCGCTCTGTGACGGGAAGCAGAGTGTGGTGGGGGACTCCCAACGCGATCCGGTATACGTAGGTCCGAGAATTGGCACGGAAACGGGCATGGAAATTATCAGGCACACGGAGGGCACGGGTGATTCTGGGAGAGTGACAACATAACTGTTAGGTTGAAAGCTGACATCCATTTAGGCCTGTAAAGCTTCCACATTTGACCTCTCCTCAATGTCTTATGTCATCAATGTGCAATTATTTCTTTTAAAATGACAGAAAGAATGTCATCAAGGAGAGACACTACAGGTGAAAGGCGTTAACATGTTTGAACGAAGAGATATCAACACAAACTTAGACCATAATGTCAGGTAAAAGCAATGTTTCATTAAAGGTTTCCTGACAGTATCTGTTTAAATATGCTTGTGAGGCATGATCAAATGTAATCTAGCAATTACAAATAGACAAAGTGCAGCAAAATAAAGACCTAAATGTGTATTTTGGGTATTTTCTTTCACAAAATATTTGAAAGTTATATGTTATGGAGGCAAAATAGCCCAAACTCGTTGACCAGTTCATTAAAAAATATATATTTTTGGGGGGTATTGATACTAAAACTAAAAACAACCAGACATCAGGGTTTCATCCTTCCTCAGATTGAAGCCTTCCCAGGACACAGATGGTGTTAATATTCTCAAAAAGTAATTGTCCAAAATGCCAGCATTCCAGCTTTCAACACAAAAGCACCGGCGTTGTCAGAGTCCTAAAAGGCTGCCAAGAACTCGAATGAGCCAAGCTCTTACGCTCGCATAGTTAGCATCACAGCTGCTCACAGGCTGGAGCTCTTTGATGCGACTTCAACGCGGCTAACATGGGACACTTCCTGTGTATCAATCCATCAAGAAGCACACAGACATTGGAAAATCATAAGATTACTCAAATGGAGTCAGACAAACCTTCCTGTCTTGATTAAATCCACCAGTGGCGTTCAATGTGCGTGTGTAACATCGTAAAGTAGAGCACAACATGTAGCCAGTGTTTCTGCACAGGTAATCACAACTGTTTGCCCAAACCACATCGGGTTGTTTAAGAAAAATTCACAAAGAATTTGACAAAATAAGTTTTAAATAAATAAATATTTATATATGTGGGTTAAACTGTGGGTTTTTCTCTGGAAGTTTTTCCTTGTACGATGTGAGGGTCTAAGGACAGAGGGTGTCGTTCTCTCATACTGATATTCTGCACAAACTGTGCTGTTGTATTTGTTGTAAAGTGTCCTTATTGCAAAGTATTTGTACTGTATGTACACTACAGCACTTTGGCTCGACCAAAAATCGTTTTAAAAATGTGCTATATAAATAAAACTTGATTTGATTTGATATATATAACTTTTCAAATTGTTCAAGCTCTGGTGATAATTGATAATTAAATCATCGCCAAGGCTGTTTTATAATGAAACATATTGTTCCCTATGATTCAAATCTGTTCTGTATTAGTTTTCCTTGGCTTATTCTGCAGTAGTCCACCTTCTAACAAACAAAATAACAACCAAAATCACGTCGCTGGTGGAGGTAACTATCGTACATGAATATATTAAATTGTAAAAGGTTTTTCTACAGAGTTATTCCAAATCCCAGACAATAATAAATAAAACATGCACATCTCCACATTTAGAGCTTACATCTAAACATATATAGGTTACATAACCTCCAGGTGAGGGAGAGAGGGATCAGGATTGCTGTAGTTGCATTTTCTTTTTCATCATAACGTATCACAAAACTATCTTCTATCTACTGAATGCTTTCATTATCATTCTTCATACATGTCTGACACACACCACCTCCCTTTAATGGGTCAGAGATGTTTTGTTCAGTAATAATACAGTGAGGAGTGGGGACTCTTTAATGCTTACATCTGTAAAGTGAAGAACAAAGAGCTGTGCCAGGGTGACTGTGACTGCAAAAACTACTATAACACCCTGTAGCATTCGCCCACACGCCTGTGCATGCACTAAGAAAATGCTCCCATGTATGCATGTGTTTAAAAGAAGGCTGGAGGTGATAAGAGCCGTGTATGAGTATATGGAAGTATGACAACAATGCTCCAACATCCCATATATGTGCACATATGTCTAATTTTCTGTACACAGCAGGGCACATTCAGTGTGTGTGTGTGTGTGTGTGTGTGTGTGTGTGTGTGTGCAATGACAGAGAAACTAGGTTACGTTTCCAGGGGAGGAGATTGGGCGCGACACGTGGCAGAGGAAACCCTTGCTTCTGCCTTCAGTGTCTGCTCTGATGTGAAATGACAGGCCTGGCCCCCAAACCACCCACCCCCACACACACACACACACACACACACACACACACACACACACACACTTTTCATAAGCAGTGTACAAAGCATGGTCTCACACATCTGGGAACTGGGGCATTGTTTGGCATTGCACCATTTTGCTACTCAGCAGTTTGCCCTTATGGGAAACTGGCTGCTCATTTCAGGCTAATTGAGGCCCTTTTTGGCGGCAGCACAGCAGGCGAATGAACCCCCGACTAAAGAGGTATTTTCTCAGCGTGCAAGTTCACATTTCAAACTTGTATTGGCATTCTACCTTAGGAGGCAGCAGACCAAAGCTATACGCTGGAAGCCATATTGTGATTGATGCTGCAACAAAAAACTTGGTTACCTCTTCCATCCAAGTAAGAAGTGAAAAGATGGTTTAGGGTGTGTGTGTGTGTGTGTGTGTGTGTGTGTGTGTGTGTGTGTGTGTGTGTGTGTGTGTGTGTGTGTGTGTGTGTGTGTGTGTGTGTGTGTGTGTATATGGGATGCTATAGACCAAAAAGCAGAGCAGGGATAATCCTTTCTAACCTTCTCTCTGCAGGTTTAGGGATTAGTGGGATGCTGGGAGCTTCCCTTTCCTCCCTCCTCTCTTCTCTGTCTGCCTCCCGAATGGCTCGTTCTGTTTTACACTCTCACTCCTCTGTCTTGATTCAGTCTTATCCACATCGGTTCGGTGCCCTTGTATTGTCTTTCCTTCCTATCTGTTAATCTATCACTCTCCTTGCCCTTCCCTGTTTCTGTCTCTTTGGTTCTTTTCCTCTATCAGACAGAAAAACTGCTGTCTTGATATTGCATCACAGAGACGGACTGCATGAGACTAGAGGATATTAATATGAAGTGATACTTCGTTAAGGACAGGGAAGCTTTCACACCGCACACAGTTCTTACACGGCCAAAAATAGATAAGAGTTTTTGTACTGACTACTTCACATATCCATCCAATTCTTGTGAAAATTACATATCCTGAAGAAAATGTTCTTAACATTTCTAAAAGAAATCAAGTTGGACGCAAGAATGAACCGATGAGGATGTTTTTTTCACTGTGAACTCGAAAAACATATTGTGGACCACAACTCAAGAATAAGTATGCTCATTATAAGAATTCACTAAAATGTCTAATGTGGTAAATGATGATGTGATGACTTGAGAGACAGACATGGAAACTGCACATTAATTGATTGGCAGAGAAATAAAACCCCAAGGTGGTAATTGTGGATTTGAATGAAAAACGAATCACAATGTTAAAAACCTGTAAATCATTGGGGTGTATTTTCATTTATTTTTCACCTGCACCTACTGTATACCTATACACATATACACCTGTGGATTATAAATCTACATATAACACCTGTTGATAATCATTTCGACAGGAAACTCTGTGTCTCTTTCCATTTATCATTGCTAGAATAAAATGTTCTGTGAGTCCTCTGATTTCACAAGCCAGAGAAATGTGTTGTTCAGTATGAGTGGCTTAATCTTGTTGGATACATTCTCAGTGCATGACCCTGTGTGACCACATGTACCCCTTGTGTGAGGAGATCATCTCTACTGTTGAATATCACACTCATCTAAGGAGTCCAGACTCACCCAATCTGCTCTTCTTTGAGATGGTTATTAAGAGCCTGAACAATAATGTCTTCGGCAAATGGCGGCTTATCGTTCTTGCGTTGGAGGTCAAAGTGAGCGGAGTTAGAGAGGGCGTGGACGCCTCGGTCTGTCCTGCTGGAAACTGACAGAGACACTGGGTTGATCGGCTTCAGCCTCCTTATTGCATCCTGTACACGGAGAAAGAGAACAGCAGAGAGGTTCAAAATAAGCTGTTGGCTCATGTATTGTTAAAGAAAATCTATTTTGGTCTTTTAAAAACAATCATAGCTTACAACAAATAGTCAGAAAGGGGAGTTGAGCTTATTAGCATTCATGCTGACGGTTAAAAAAAAAGTGAAAGACTTGTAATATAAAAACTATAACTACCCCCTCAGTCTCTCATCAACTGCCTGCATGACATCAAAACATGGATTACTTCCAACTATCTTAAGCTGAACAGCAATAAAACAGAGCTCATGGTTTTGGCACCCAAGGCCCTGCTCCAGAAGGTTGGTGACTTCATCCTTGAGGTCGACGGCTGCTCCACCTCCCCATCTCCTGAAGCCCGCAACCTGGGTGTCATCCTCGACTCCACCCTTTCCTTCCATTCCCACGTCAAATCTGTGACCAAATCGGCCTTTTACCACCTAAGGAACATTGCCAGACTCCGACCGTCACTCTCGGAGTCGGTTGCCGAAACCCTAGTGCATGCTTTTGTCATCACCCGCTTGGACTACTGCAATGGTGTCCTGTTCGGGGTTCCCAACAGAACCCTGGACAGGCTACAGTATGTCCAAAACTGTGCTGCTAGGGTACTCACACACACAAAGCCGTGGCAGCACATCACTCCCACCCTCATCCACCTACACTGGTTGCCGGTCAAGTCCCGCATATCCTACAAAGTCCTCCTCCTCACCTACAAGTCCCTCCATGCCCTTGCCCCCCAGTACCTATCGGACATCCTTCACCCACATGCCCCACCCCGGAACCTGCGGTCCTCAGACTCTGGCCTGCTTACCACCCTCCGCACCAAACTGCGAACCTTCGGGGACAGAGCCTTCAGTGTGGCAGCCCCCACCCTCTGGAACGCTCTCCCTGCGGAGATTCGCAACATCCCCACACTTGACGCCTTCAAAAGGGCCCTCAAGTCCCATCTGTTTGCCAAGGCTTTCGGCCCCTAAATCGATCTGTTGTTTTACCTGTCTGACTTTTAGNTCCTTTCTCATTTCAGGTAGTTTGACTCCTACCTTGTCAGTATGTTTACTGACCTGATTACCTGCCCCGCCCTTATTGTTTGCACCTGTAGAGTCCCTTGTATGTGTATATATTCTGTGTGTTCCCTGTACCAAGTACCAGATCGTTTTTGAACCTTGTGATACTGGTCAGCCAGTTTGTTATCTAAGCTATAGTGAATTTCAGTTAGTTTTTTGTAGAGTCATTTTTTGGAGTCCTAACTCTGCTTATGTGATTGTATTGCCTTGCTTATCACCGCAAGTACAAATCTTTTTTAAATCATCTTTTGTCTGGTGTCGTGCATTTGGGTCCTATCATGTTTTGTCTGCCCTTAAGCCATGTATATGCAATTGATCCTCATACGCAAGTTCGCAAGGGGTCGTACGATACATTATTTCACGTTTTTTTCTCCTATGAATGTCCATCAAAACGTCTTCAACATTTGTATTCACAGGAAACAGCTTGGTTACATTTAGGCAACAAAAGTTCTTGGTCAGATTAAGGCAATGATTGTTGTTTAGGTACAAAATGACAGCAGTGGCCATGTTATGCTATAAAAAGTGTGCATCAAAATCACTACGTACAGTAAGGGGCATTATTTAAGCACAGAAGTAAGGGGCAAATGAATAAATCCTGGTTTTACATCAGAAAGAACGGCAACTCCTGGGTGAACATTTGTTAAAAGTTTGTTCCAAATCATTTACATTTTTAAAGAACCGTCCCAAGCAATAAAAGACTGAATTCGGAGCCTAAGTGATGCATCGTGTCCCCCACAGTTGTGCTGATTAGAAGCCATGGGAAAAGAAAGCCCTGGTCCTGGGTCTCATGGGTCCACCTCGTGGTCCTGAACCCCAGTCCTGCAGGGTCCTACCTGAGGGGCTGGTTACATTTAGCCCTCAGCTGCTCCTCCAGGCCGTAGGTTTTAGGGACAGACGGTGATTGAGATCCACATGACGGCGTTTCTTCTGCTTATGGATGCTGTGTGTTTGATCTGCAGGCTTTGATCTTAAAGAGATTCTTCAGTGTCGTCCTTCCGACGTACCAAAGAAAAAACAGAGATCCTTAGATGTTACTGTGAACCCTAAAATAACCTTGGAGCTCGATGTATCCGCTTACAGTGAGGTAGCACGATGACTGAAACCAGTGACTGGCACTTCATAGCTGCGTCTAGGTTACCTTTCAGACGGTCACACACTCCTGAGACTAAACCGTTTGGCAAAGTGCTCCATCAAAGGTTATTTTGCACATACTTTGCTTTTCTGTTATAAGTGGTAAAATACATGATGTGTAAATGAAGCAAATAAGATGTTTGTCTGATGATTAGGATAAAGGTGTTTCTCAAGAACAGATCTGCCTATGAATGTAAACTGAGAAATCACAGGAGGTTGTGTTTTATGAAAGGATTAAGAAAAGGTTTCTTTCTTCTTCAAGTTTTATTGAGAGCCGATACTAACCAGACAATCTAACAATGCTGCGTGTTGGTAAAACATCAGAGTACTTAAGAAAAGGGGTAATTAAAGGGTGTCTTTTAAGCACAAACATACTGTGATAAGAGCCATTCTGTTGAAGCACTGGGAAATGATATATTTCTGATATCTTAAAGATCTCTGCGGGACAAAGAAATGATCAAAATAATAATGTGTGGCTAACAAAATGTGTAAAACAACATCTACTACCTTTTCCTGGCTGAAAAAAACAATTAACTGGTCATATGAAAGTATTATTTACTTCAAAAGTGAATGTGCTGGACATAAGATGTCTCCTACCTTACTGAAAGTTTTGTAATTATCCTCTTCAGGTGCATATATGTATGTTGTGTCTCTACTGGGACATGTCTCCATGCTTTAATGTTCAAAAAGCTCTTTATTTGTCTCATACTGCCTGTGCTGCAGCACCTCTTTTCACCCTCTGTCTGGAACCAGAGCCCAGTCTGCTCTGATTGGTTAACTGGCCGGCTCTGTTATGATCAACCACTTATAGATGTCCTTCCCCTTAGCCTATCACATACAACATTCTTAAATGTTGTATGTGAGCCTACGGATGGAAATAAGCTAAAATCTGGCATATTTACATTTGAAGCATTAATTGTTTAAAGTGTTCATCAATGTGCATTGTCCCTCTTCAAATAAACGATTAAATGAATGAAATGAAGTGTTACAGTACATAGTGATGTCATTATATTACAGAAGTAAACAATAGGCGCTTTCACACCAAGGGTGTTTCTCAATCTCGAGTAAAGCTGCTCCAGAGCCACTATTTCAAGCATACTACGTCATCGAGTGCCGCCGAAGTACTGTTCCAATGTCCAGCGTACTTGGAATTCTACCGAGCCCGGCGTACTTCGATTGGAGACATTTCGAGGCTGCACATGTGTAGACTCAGCGGTCTTAAAATCCCAACAATGCTTTGCGCACGGACCAATTTCCCCAAATCTGTGGCGGGAAATGTAAGGCGGGGCTTCTCATGTGACGCACACCTGCACACTTGCTCGCCTGTTCCACTCTTCGTTTTCCGAATGCCAGGAAGTATTCTTGCCTCGCTTCTGAAGCAAGTCACTCGGAAGACATGCGCTACCAAGCAAGAGTACTCGAGATTGAGAAACACCCCAAGTACTTTGCCGTACTTAGTTCAGCAGATCGCGTTCACACCGGAATAAGTCCCTGGGGAAGGATTAGGCAAATGAAGCCGCTGACGTCACTTCTTCTTCTTCTGCTTTGGGTTTACTGGCAGGCCGCAAACAACTTCACGGCGTATACTGCCACCCGAAGTCCTCGGCCGGAAGTCCTCGGTGTTGGGGACTGGCTTCAGTAGCTTCTCATGAACTAAGTTCTAGTTCCGGATTTTTTTGGTGTGAACGCACATTTTCGGAACTATATCGGAACTATACTGGGAAAAGGACTCCTGTGTGAAAGCGCCTATTGGGTCCAACGGAGGTGTTTCAGGCAGGGGGGTGGGGAGTACGGCTTCTAATGACCAAACTGTTAACCTACATCATTAGTGAAGCTATAATGAATAAGCATGGCTCAAATTTGGTGCTAAGAGATCTTCTTTGATATTTTTGGAGATAATTTCCTCTTTTTCCTCCAAAAAGAGAACTGTGTTATTCGCACTTTCTGCAGGAAACATAAAATCGATGAATTTTCCGGGAATGGGGATCCTGAGAGGCTGTAAAGAGCAAAGAGAAAACAGTCATGATCATACGGTTGAATCACAAGCATTTTTAACATATTTTCTTTATCCAAACACTAGCACAACTCTAACACATCAGTGTGTGTCATGGTACACTTGTGCTGCGGGAAAAAAACAATATCAGAGGAATCCAGGATCAGGCCATGGGAGGCTGGCACCGTCTGCTCCTCAGGCCACTCACAACAACACGCTCCAATAGGACGTCTGTAACAATATTAGTGGGGTCCTTTTAAAGGCCCCAGACAGCCCCGAAATAATGTTCTGTACAAAATAATACTTTAACCACACCAATCCCTGTGTGTCTACAGCAAGAATTACAAATATGAAGAAAAGAACATATTCTCTTGTCAATCTCTTCAGTAGATGTGAAAATTAGACTGGATTTGTTGTCGAATTTTCCAGTTACTCTGTGTTTTAAATGAGACTGTGGAATTTTGAACGTTTTCTTTATACAAAGTTCAGAATAACATCAGCATTCATGTTAAGCTGTGTGAAGGCAAAGTTTTGATACTAATAAACTGTGTTTAAAAAAGTTTCTCTAAAAGGGTATACAGACTTTTGTTTTGTAATTTCACTACATTGAACCAGAGACTATTAATAGCCACAATAATCTGTCTGTCTGCGCCAAGAATCTAAATTCTTCAGAAAAGAACAAATGTATTTGTGTGAGGCCGGTGAGATTATTTAGGTAGATTTAAAATGTTATTGTATTTCGAATCACATGTTCCAATATATATATATATATTTTGTATTGAGTCATTGTGGC